GGGGCTGCCGCTGCTGCTCATCTCCCTGGCCTTCGCCCAGGAGATCTCCATCGGTAACCGGCGGCCTCCTCGCGGGAGGGGAGGAAGCGGAGGAGGTGGAGGAGGAGGGCGGGCGGGGGGAGCCGGGCGGCCCCGGCGGCCCCCGTGGTGGCCCTGGGGACACGGCGGTTCCTGCGGGTTGTGGGTGTCGCGGTGGGCCGTGGGAGTGGGGCCGTGGTGGTGCTGAAGGGGCGTCTCCATTGCTACCACGGGGTGTTTTGTGTGTTGGACATGGGGTGCCAAACTCTCCAGGCAGTGTGTCCCACATCCTGCAGGTGGGCATCCCCACACCACATGTGTCGAGGTGACTTGCGCAGGGGACATTGGCACATGGCTTTGGATGCTCGCCTGCTGCCTCTCCTAGGCTTGGGGCACCATTAGCTCTCGTGGGTCTCAGCCCACCCAAGGGCTGCCCTCAGCAGCGATGCCCTCGCAGGGCCAGGGCTCAGCACCCACCTGCCTGCAGGATGCCCTGGGTGGAGGCTGCGGTGTGTGCGGGTGAGGAGCGGTTCCCACCACCCCCTCCGGAGCACCCGTGCCCCTGTGGTGCTGGGACCAGAGCAACAGGTTCACTTGGGCTATGGGCAGGGATGGGAGGCAGCACAGATCTCCTGGAGCCAACTGCCTGCTCACAGCGCGTCTTGCCCAGATGTCAAGCACTGGGGTTGGTCCTTCCTTCTCCTTCCTCATTCCCTGCTCTTTCTTGATGAATATCCAAACGCTGAGGTGATGTGACCTTTTTGGTGTCATTCTCTAACACCTCTGGAGCGAGGCCACCAGCAGCTCAGCTGCCACATGGGTAGGCAACGTTGCACTGGGTGGCCTGGAGAAGGTGACAGCCACCCGGGTCTGTTCATGTCTCAATGCTCATCAGCCTTAAGCATAAGCAGCAGGTTGGGCTGTGCCTTGAGGACTGCCCATACGCAGTGCTGCAGTTCCCAGTGCTTGTAGGGCTTTGCAATAAGGTTTGGTGTTGTTTATGAGCCGTCAGGAGCAGGTGCTTGGGAGGATTTCCAGACGTCTGGGTTTGGACGGAGGATATCTCAGTTTGTGTGTTGAGCCTGGTCACCTGCTGCTCGGATTTGAGCTGCTGGGCTCTGGTTCCCAGGGGCGGCACTGGGTGGGAGATGGGAATAGCGTTTCTGAAACTCTTCCAGTTCAAGTCCCGCTGAAGGGATGTGTGCCTCAATGTGCCTTTTACACAAGAAAGGCCAAATTATCTTTTTTGTTATTTTTTAAAACTAATTACTTTACTGTGCTTCTTTCCTCTGCCCAAGTTTCAGGAGTAGTTGTGCAGCCCTTCCAGCACCTGAGAAGTGACTGAGGTGACTTGGATTTATAATCCAGAGGCTTGCTTATAAAAATCATGCTTCATGTAAGAATGGTTCTGAATTCAAATGGCACTACCTGAATTAAGGTTTTTTAGGCGAATTAGCACTGCTGCCACTTTTGAGACAGAAGTGAGCCACAGGACTTCTGCACTTGCAGAAATAGCTGTTTTTGCTGCAGGTACCTGTTCAGTGGCGTTCAGTGTCTTGTGCCCAGTAGACCTGTTTTGCATCTGAGCTATGTGTTTCATAGTCCTGAGTAAAGGTGCTGTCAGGGGAGTAGTAATGGATTGGTCTGTGGATTGGTGGTGGGTCTGCCAAAGCATCACGAATAGCATTAACCAGATAGCAGACTGCTCACCAGGGAACAGGCACACACCGAGTGCAGGAGACATAAGCAGAGTTTTATCACTTGCAATAATCCTGGGCAACCAGACAAGACCAGATCTGAGTCCTGTGGAAGGTCTCTTCAAGCAGAATCTTGCAGAAGTCTTTCTGCAGAACAGCTTGCTGCTTTTAATCCTGAATCCACTGCTGATGTGTTCTCATTTCTTCCTCTTGAAGCAGTGCAAAAGAGGCTTTTGTTTCACGGGACAGTGCAGGTGAACACAGCAGGTTTGCTAGTTGGGGATGGGACCTCTCAGTTCTTCCTCTGCTTCCCCTCTAAAATCTCTCTCAGGATCCACCTCTGCCTGAAGGAGTGGCTGTGTATGAGCCCTCTTACCTTGTGCTACTCTGCAGATTTTTTTCCCATTTTGCTGATTCATATAGAGCTCAAAACTATAGTTACATTGCGGAGTTTGGTGCGGGGTGTTTTAATGCTTCTCTCATTTTTATCAGTTAACAAATTCTCATCTTCACTAATCAAGCGCTTAGTCCTCAGCCTACAATATATATTATATCCTTCAGTGTTAAAATAATTCAAACTGTATCTGAGCCTACAACACACACTTGAAGCAACAGTTAAAACAGGCACTAAACATTGCAGGTCAGGAATGTGCCGTGTGTTACTTTTTGCTTGTAGTTCTGAGAGGTTATAAGAAAAAAAAAATGGCATTTAAAACAGAGCTCTTCTATTTGAAAAATGGAAGAAGCCTGTGACATGCAAGGTCCCAGCGCGAGGTGGAACTGCACTGCGTGGTTTCTATACAGAAAGTGATACTGTATCGGCTGTGCTGCCCTTTGCCTGTTCCATTTGCCCTATCCCATTTCTGTTGCTATCTCCCTTTCCTCGCGCAGTGTTTACTGCCTAACAGGCAGGCTTCTTGGGTGAGTTATCAAAGCTGTTTTCATTAAGATACACTTTTGGTGGGCAGAGGGAAGGCTGGAGGGTTTGGCAGCTGGATATGCGTAAGTCTGGAAGTGGTGGTGGGATTTCTTTCAGACACTTCCTTAGGCACTTGTGCCTTGAAAGACTTCAGGAGCGCTAAGCTGAGAGAAGGTGGTAGGGTCTATTTTAGGTCTGAAAAAGGGCAACTCTAAATCAGCAGTGGCTGTGGAAGCAATACACGAGTCACAGCGTGAAAATATCCCTGTCTCCAGGTGCAGAAATTGTATGCGCTATCCAGCAAGGAGTGCTCGGATCCTATTTCTGTTGGGATAATTGCATCCTTCCCACCTACGTATCCTGGCAGCTTGGCTGGCTGCTGCTGTCGGCTTCACTTTCTGCTCCCTTTTGGTATTTTGTCACAGCGCAGTGTTAGATAGCAGCAATTTTCGTTCTACGGGTTGTTAATTGTGCAGAACAGTCGTCAGCTACTGGCTACAGTGACTGCCTGGGATCAGCAGCCTCATAGGGTCAGCAGGAGGAGGTGCAATATAACCTTGTTACATTATTCCCTGTTACATTTTAGAAAACCGTCATCAGCTGCAGGTCTGTCCGGGTTTTAAGGATTTTTTTTCTGGTATTGCTTAGCCCTGGTTGTTTTGGGCCTGTCCTGGGTAGCTCTGCTGCTCCAGGCACTGGCAAAGAGAAGGCTTGAAATCCTGCACCTGTTACCTCTTCACTTCCAGTCCTTGTCTTACACGTTTTTACATAGGGAACTTGAAAATGGAAAAAAAAATTGGAACACAAGGGTTTGAATAATGTATTTCCTTATATTCCATATGTTATTTTCTTACATTGTTTGGGAGTTCTTTGGGTAAATATAGTTTGGGTGATCAGGTACTACAGTAACAGTAACGTAAACAGTACCAGTGACATATATATGGATATTTATTTATAGAGGGGGGGAGGGGAAATAAATTAATAAATTAAAGATGTGGGCACACTCAGCCTTGTTAAACTCAGTAGTTCATCTGAGTTTCTGTTGTATGATTATATTTTTTAATAAGAATAGCTCTGAGTTATGGCTGATATTCCAGGTTTTAATCAATTCTGGGCAAAATATCCGTGGCTAGCTTGGTTGTAGCAGAAAAGCGAGCAGGAGCACAGCATCAACAGCAGCACCAGGCGCCTGCAGCCTTCCAGGGGAAGGGAATTGCAAACACACTTTGCTTCCCACTCCGCTTGCTCCCCGCTGCAGTGTCCGGGCCCGGGGTTCAAAACCAGGAGTCCAGAGAAGCGCTTCAGAGCAAATTAATGTCACCAAGGATGTCTGACTATTTACCAATATCTTTTTTTTTCTCCTTACTTTTAATTTTTCCTCTTTTGTAAGCTGCATTAGCTTTATATTTTGCACTACTACATTGCCAAAGTAAACCTCAATGAACAGGTTATTTCAGCTTATGGACCTATTTGTTTTTCTCCATACTTTTCTTCTTGTGCTTCTTATCCATCTTTTTCTCTCTCTCTTTTTTTTTTTTTTTCTCGTAGTTTTTAATATTGGTGTGGGGCATGTGCTTTGTGTGGTGCCTTGAAGCACACTGTGCACTGCCTATATGTGGCTTGATTTTCTTGTTTGTGGCTTCTTCTTTAGTGGCTGATAAAGTGGATAATTCTTGCTAGATAAAATCAAGTATTGTGGTATTGTGGCTAATTCATTTTGCATGGCGTAAAATTATAGGAGCGATCAATTTTAATAATCCAAACCTATGCGAATCTTTTTTCTTTCTTTCTTTCTTTTTTCCTAGTGATTGCAGGGCATCAGAAAACAAATCATTATTAACTGGAGGTTCCATGCTGTGAAATACAAGCCTGCAGACCCCGGCTCAGCAGTGAGCCTCTGATGAACATCAGTTCTCGAAGTACTCGCAGTTATTGCGGGGCTTTATTAGGTGCCTGAGCAGGGAGAGAGCGGCTGAACCCCCCCCCGCCTTCCAGTCACCCCCTGCACCGGCAGAGCAGGCCAGTACCATCCTGGGACCAGCTCCTTTGGTCCTGAGCTTCCCCTTGGCATTCTAGGATGGAAGAAAGTTTCTTATTTTTGGAAAGCATCAGCAGGCACAGCAGGGTGGGAAGTGGCTCAGATCCTGCTCTTTGAGCATTTGCAGCAGCATTTCCATGTCTGATTGCGATAGAGAAGCCAGGGCAGACTTGTTGCTTGTACTTCTAACTCTTAAGAAATCCCATTGGCGATGGGGACATCTTCTCTCAGACACTTAGTGACCGAACCAGGCCAAGGACTTGGGCAAAGTGGGTGAAAAGGTGTTACCTGAGCATGGAGAGGATGGTGTAAAGAAAGATGCACTGCCCAGGTGGTCACAGAATTGGCCAAAGCGGCCTCTTCGTGAAGGCAGCCACTTCTCAGTCCTCATCCTTCTCGCTCTGTATTGTATCTCCCTGTCATCATTACAGACTTGGGAGTCCATGAGCACTCGCTGGGACTTTTTTGCCTTTCTGTTACTTGTGGGAGCAGAGACCTGGGACTGGCCTCACATCCCCAGCTCGGGGAGGCCATTTCTTTCATAGCAGAGGACCTTCAGCCTTTCATAAACTAGCTCCAAGGCGTGCATATGTATTTACATATATATTTATGTTCATAGTGGTTCTGTGACAACAATTCGGCCCTTTGCCTATGTTGTACTTCAGTAAAAATTGCAACTTTTCTTTTTTCTTTCCCCACTTCCTCTAGAAAATCCAAGCACAGACTAAATTGTCTGTGTGTTATTGATATTGTTCCTTCAGAACATAGAGAGGAAAAAAACGGAAAACCGATGGAAACTTGGCATTTTCATTATTAACTTAGGCACTTGACCAGTGGTTTCCCATGCGTGGGGTGGTGCTTTAATGCCCTTCCCATCAGAGGGGAACCCTAGGGCAGCGTGTGGTGCTGAGCGCTCCTCTTGCTCACCCTCTGGAAGGGCCCCATATTGATGGTTTCACACACTGACTCGTGTTGGTACCAGGAGTTCTGTTAATAGTGAGAGCAGAGCATAAATGGGCCCTTCAGTGTCTTTCCTGAGCTCCCACAGGTTTCTTTCACAGGTGGCAAGTATCTGGGAAGTAGAAACTCTTGGAGCTTCTCTGTTGGATATGGTGAAACTGCTGGTGTTGTGCGAGCTCTGTTAAATCCCCTGAGCTCTATTCTGATAAATATATATCTATTTTTTTGCCATAAGGGAGGCTTGTGACAGTTCAAACCACATCATGCAGCCTTGGAATAATTGTGAGTGACTCAGAAGGGAAGGCTTCTATTCAGCACGCTCCTCAACTCTGCTACGTTGCAACACAGAAGCTACAGTGTTAAGTTCCTCTTATAAAGCAAGTTCTTGTTCTCTGAGACAGACCAGAAAGTAGGCACAAAAAACCCCCAAAGCAATCAGAACTGAGGGAAGCCTGTTGGAAACATTATTTTTTTCTTTAATATCAGAGTTTCAGAAAGGAAAAACAACAGAAACTCTTGTTAGCTCTCCTATAAGGAACCACTGATACCTACTCATGGTCCACATTGAGATACAGTGTAAGGAAGAGAGGTGCCGGGCCCTTTGGGAGAGCCTAGGCACCAGGATTGCTCTGCCAAAAGGAAATCCCTGTTTCCACCTGTGTAACCTGTGCACGGCATCGTGGAAACCATTTCCTCAGGAAACCAGCCTGCCCTGGTGGCACTTGATACCCCTTGGTTCCCCTTTGGCCAAACTGAGTCAAATGCGATGACAGAGTTGCCTCAGGGAGGTTACATTCCCACAATATGTACCCAAAAAAGGCATAACAGACAGGTGCTTCTAATATCCCTTCTTTGGAGAAAGGTAGGAAAGGTCAACCCCCAGCAGACCTCAGAGAATCCGTGTGGGAGTGTAACCCTTTGGATGCTGTCTGGGGACTGGAGCCGCTCTGCAGACATTTCAGAACCGCCGTATTTCTGTCTATTGCCTGATGTAGTAGCTTGGGATAACAGTGAACCCAAGCATGAGCTTTTCTTTCTTAACTTGATTTCTCTGTTTTAAATCTTCCCAATATCTGATAAGTTTTGCTTTGTTTTTCAGGTGCTCAGATAAGCTGTTTTGCACCCAGCTCCTTCTCCTGGCGACAAGCTGCTTATGTGGACTCCTATTGCTGGGCAGCAGTGCAACAAAAGCAGACATCCCAGAACAACTTGGAAAATATTCCCCTGTGGCTTCATAAAGTATGTTCAGATCTCCTTCTTTGGGAAAAACTGAAGTACAGAAACCTGCCTTTGCTTTACCTTTCTCCTTCCTCCTCTGCTTTAGTGCTTGGCTGTGAATTGACTTTATTATTAGAGAAGAAGTTTTATTTCTCTTACTTCCAAGCAGGGTGGGACAGGAAGAGCATCAACATTTCATCTGAGCAGAAGAGCATCAACAAAAGCATCAACATTTTCTGAGTTTAAATAGAGGATCTGTCATGGTACAATAACAAATATCACCAATTATCTGACACGAGAATAATGTTAATGTTGATGTGTTGCTCTGGAGCTGGCTGCCTGACTTTAGTCAGGAGCTATTTTAAAATCATGAAATAAGACAAAACCCAGGCTTATTTTTAGGCTAAATGCTGTTTTGTTCCGTTACTGCTCCAGTTCCTCCCAGTCAGACCTTCTATAGAGGCCACTCAAGGCTGGTGGGACATCTCACAAGGCAGGAACCTCCATCTGCAGATGTGGACGTGCACTGTTGCACTGTTCTCCCTTTCTCTTGAGGGACAGAGCTACTGTTACCTAGTCTCTTTTAGATAAATTTTATTCCATAGTCATCTGTTGATAGTTGACTATAAGTCTCTTCATTTCCTATCCATGACAAATAGCTTAAGTAATCATATTTTTATGGCACGACCCACACGAATTTGCTGTCTCAGGAGCTGATGCAGGGGTGCTGTGTCCACAGTTCCTACGCAGTAGCTTAGTGCCATGTGATGTTTCCTTTTGGATGCCCTGTAGACCGAAATATATCTGAACAGCTGAGTCAGAACCTGGGGCTGAGCCTGGGTGCCAATGTGGACTTCCTAAATCCATGCTTAGCCACCCCCCCTCCCCCGATCTACTCCATGGAAGCCACACAGGCTCTTTGGATACTATTAATAAATATCCTGCTGCTTGTTCATCAGCTCTCACACTTAGCAAGTTTCCAGGGGCTGAGCAGTGTTACAGCTCCTAACCCCGGCCTTCAGTGCCCGCTGCTGCTGTGAGATATTTGGCTGCTCTTCTACTGTGGGGCCTGCAGCTGCTGGCTGCACGTGCAGCTGACGGGGTGCAGGGAAACACAGCCGTGCTTGTCTGCTGTGCAGGCTCATCGCTCCGCAGACCTGGGCTACGTAACGGGCTTTAAAATGTGCAGAGCCTTTGTGGGAGCACAGTGATGTTAGTGAGATGAGAGATGCTCAGATGAGAGGTCTTTGTGGGAGCACAGTGATGTTAGTGAGATGAGAGACGCTCAGATGAGAGGTAGCTTTTCCCAGCAGTGCAGGGACAGGGATGCAAGTAAAAGGACCACAGGGATTGTTAAATACAGCTTTTCTTGTAAAGAAAATGCTGTAGGTTTTTCTTTCTGCATCCCAGGCAGCAGTGCAGCTTTTTGCCTGTGTCAGTCCTGCCTTGGTAGATGTCTCCCAAAACAAATTTGAAGTTTGAAAACTTGTTTTGGAGTGGAGAAGAGGAGCATATGCTGCAGTTCTCTGGGGAGCCTGACTCTCTAGTGAGCTGCGCGCTCTTTGAGCACTGTTGCTCCTTGAAAAACAGAATACTTGAGAATTTTCAGTGATCCTGAAAGAACTCTTAATATTGAGTGTGCCTTAACAGAAAGCAAAATGAATTATGTACTCAAAAACATGACTCAAGAAATAAACTACATTTGCACGTGGATAATAAGGGAGTGTGGTATGTACTGCCTGTAATCTTAGTCTAAGATTTCCTCATCCTCGTAAGCTATAAAGATATCAAGATGCTCATCTGACTCATCTTCAGGCCTGTCACTGAGAAAATAGAGTGGTCAGGAGTCATGTTTTTTCTGATGTCTCTCTTTTCTTCTGGGAGACTTGAACTCCTTCAAGATGTTACTTGTATCTGTCTGAAGTACCAGAACTGAGCTACTAACTTCTAAAGAGAGGTTATAAGGAAAGGCAGGCAATGTAGATACGAGATGAGAGTTGTGTGTTTGGTCTCTCTTTTCTCCTTGTTTGCTTCTCGTCCCTAGGGATGAGTGCTCCACCTGACAATTTATTATAAAACTTGCCTTGATTCTTCACTTAAAAAGGTTATCTGCCCGTTGCTGGTCCTTGTAGTCTAGAGAAAAGTAAAGAAATGTGCAAAGGTGACCACAGCATCATCCTGTCTCCTCTAGGCATGATGGCAAGCAAGCAAGCTGGTGGTGGGGGAGAGGGGACAGGATACTAGGTATGACCAGCTCTCAAACCTGGATTGCTAGAATGGGGGTGCCTCTGATCACAAGACCTCAAGGGCTTTTTAGTTACTGTATTTTCTGGACTGCTAATAATTGGAGAGCATCAAGGAGGAAGAAGGAAAGCTGAGGCAAAGAGAGGGAACAGTTGTTCTGAGGAAGGGCCATAGTACCAGTGTGGAATAAAGGAAAATGTTCATTTGCACATTTCTGTGTGTCTGACAGACAGGAGAAATATTTCTTTTGTCACAGCACAACACAGCAAGGAAAAAACAGTCTCTTCACTTAGATCTCTGGAAAGCGAAGGGCAAATGTGGTGGGACCTGCTCAGAGCCCTGCAATATGAAGAATCGTTCTGTCTGTGTGTGTGAAGTGACACCTTGTTCAAAGTCATCATGATTTTGCTCTAAAAGAGATTTCCTGTGAGCCTGTGGATTGTTCTCTGACTTGCTTATCTACAATTACAGATAAAAAATTGATCCTTCATTATGTAGTTGGTATCATTATAATCACAGCTGTTACCTGGTTCTTGTTACTCACTGTTTATCCAACATTACAGTTGCCTGAGGATTCTTCATTTTTCAGACATGAAGCCCCACCCAGGAGGATTAAGGGCTGTCAGTGCAAAAAAAAAAGAAAAAAAAAAAGAAAAAAGGTAGATGAATGTTTAGTCACATCATTACTCTTGCTAACTGAGGCTGGAGAAATACAGTGTTTCAAGCTGTATCAAAACAGAAAATAAATAAGGAGTGGATGGGATATGAAAAAGAATTGCTTGGGATGCAGTCTCAGATCTGGAGCCAGGGTAATATCTCAGCCAAATGGCAAACTTTAGAATTGTGAGTCACTTATAGCTCACATTTTTTGCCCTGAAAACCCATGCCATGAAAAGTCTCCCATTGACTCTGCCAAGGATATGATTATGTCCAGAGGGGACTAAATAACTTTGCATGAGGAAATATGTTGCTGTTGTTAGCCTATTCTGGTGGTGAGGTTGGGAAGGAGGGAATTCCCGTGTTTAGAATCTTCTCAATGGAGTGTAAAAAACAGGAATTGATGAAGCTGAGATTTATTGCATCATAATATTATTTATGTGAAATATTTTGATCCCCACTGAGTAAAAAACTTCCAGTGTTTCTTTGTTTAGTATTCAATATCAGTGAATTTTCTCAAGACTCCAATTCAGGCCTGTGGGTGCAGTTTAACAATGTTGTGTTATTGTACTTAAAGTTAGTATTTTACCTCCCCCAAATATGGTGGAATCTGAAAGCCTGCAGTCACTTTAGTAGTGTTTGCTCAGAGTAAATACGATGGCGGATGTAATGGGAGTTGTTTTGTGAATGTCGCTAAAGTTGTTCTCATCTTCTACAAGTTGTCTCCAGATTTCAGCAAGTTCTGTGTGGATCTCCTTGAAAATGCCTTCTAGGTCACATTGCTCTTTACAGAAAGTTTTGCTAGGTGTCTGGAAGAGGCCTTATTTTTGTTTTAGCAGTATTTTCTTTGGATGACACACGTATTTCAGTTCGTAAAGAAGTTTAAGAAATACCCTTTAAATTTGTTTGCTGTGTTTTTACTGGATCTTAGTTGAACTGGGAATGTTCTGTTACTCTTTGGAGCTTTTATCTGATTTTTCTTTCCTTCAATAGTGTGGTGCCAACACATCTCTAAAGGACAGCTGTGTGATTCCAATATCTCATCTGCTCGTACCAATATATTACTCAAGCATTTTCTTCTATACATGGACATTCAATTAGGTTACACAGTTAACTAGTTTATGAAATTTAACTTGAAAGGACTGAAAGAGATGTTTTCAAGAAGGCCAGGTCAGCCTCTGCAAATGTAGAAGGGTGTTTTTAGGGCAAGAGAAAGGAGGCCTCGGGACTTAGGGATGGCTTGGTAACTTGCAGGTTCTTCACAGCCTGGGAATGATTCTCTTCTCTCTGTAAATACCCGTAAATACTGTGGGTGTTAGAAATGTGTTGTGCATGTCGGGCTCTCCCTATATCCCTGTCCATAACCGGTAGTTTATTGCTGTGTATTAACCCCAGTTGTTCAGATGCCTTTCTAAGCTTTTGTGGGTGGCACAAGTTATGCTTGACAGCTGCTTTCCGTGGCCTCTGAATAAAAGAGGACAAAAATCATGCCATGAGAATATTAGGAATTCATTCAGGTATTTGTAGTGCGTGAAAGACTTTGCACATTTCACTGGGAACCGAAATGGAGTGAATGCAGTTCACGTCGTTCTGAATATTTACCTGAATACAGACAGTCACAAATTCTATCAAAGTAGAGTTGTTTTGGAAAATATGTATTCAGTTTGTGCAAGTAATTTCAGGAGAGGAGCAAATGTATGCAATTGAATAAATGGTCAAAAGCAGTGCAGTATGTTAAACAGATACAAGATTCCCAGAGTACAGACTCCATCCTTAATGATTATTTTTCATCTTAGTTCATAGTAGCCTGTGTTGATTTAAAACTGCTTGACAGAGTTATGGTCAATGATGTAATGAAACATGTTCACATCTGTGAAGTGTTCACATTTTGATGTACGACTTTGATTTAATGTTAACCTTTAATGATAACCTGCTTGGGTGAGTACTAGAGCAGAAGACTTTCGCACAATGTATTGGTGCAGATGCTGAGAGGGCGGATGAAGACTCTGTATCTTCACATCCTCATACACCCATCTCCAAAGCTCTTATGGGGCAGGAAGATGATAGTTTCTGTCTTCCAGGGCTGGGTGGAGTATGGGAGCTGCAGGTTTCCAAATAGCTCATGACAGATCTGGTCCCTTTTTTGTCTTGGACCAGATGCATCTGTTTTAATCTCTTTTAGGAAGTCTTTCTTCAGTGATTCAGTTTCATTTGCCACCCTAAATCTAGCATTACGAACTTGCTGTTGAGAAGGAATTTGATAACAGGGCAGCAAAAATAAAACTGAGTTTTACTTTTAGGGCAGAGCTTGCTCTGCCATATCTCTGTGTTTATAGTTCTTGAGCTCAGCGGCACTCCTGTTTGATCTAAATGCAGCAAAGACTACAAACTATCCAAAACTACAGTAGCTCTTCATATTTGTGTGTTCAGTTCCACAGAAGTAAATATATTAACCAGGGAAGAAAGGCGAACTTTGCGTGCTGATCCTTGCATGAATACCACGGAGTATTTAAAAAGAGAAGTCCTTGTGCATGACTGTGAAGTTTAGTCGGGTGGGCTGCATAATCCAAGTCTTTTGCTGTGAAATCTGACTTGTGTCCCGTGACTTTGCATTTTCACTTCTGCCTGTTATTTCAAGGCCTCACACTTTGATGATTCAAAACAATTTTTCAGTCATCTAAGACTATGTTAATGAACAGAACAAGTGTGTTTTACAGGCTAGCCAAATGAACATGCCTTCTTCCCTTCACGAAAATTTATTTTAATAGAAGTATTTAAATAAAATCATGGGAAATCGAATAGGAGACCTATAGGAACTGATGGTACTTGGCTGACTTTATACTGCGGTGGAACCTAATCCCGTATTTTTCTCCCCTCTAGTTTTTCCCCTACATCCTTCTGCTGGTTGCCATCCTGCTGTACCTGCCCTGTTTGTTCTGGCGCTTCACGGCAGCTCCACATCTTTCCTCAGACCTGAAGTTTATTATGGAAGAGCTGGACAAAGCCTATAACAGGGCAATCAAGGCTGCTAAATGCATCTGCAGTGCAGACACCAAGGACCCTGCTGATGTGGTGCCAAGTGCTAATGAAAACTTGACTCAGAGGTAAGACACTGAGCCCTCGGTTTCTTTGTGCTTTTTCTCAAGCTCTTAACAAATATAATATTTGAATTATCCTAGAAATTTGTTGCAAATTGAATGTACATTTTAAAAATCAATTTAAAAGATATATCTGAAATCATTATGGTGCACATGGAGTTGGACCTCATAGCTTTCTTTTATCAAAGAAAACATTTGTTTTTCAGATAACTAATTACCTGAGGTTGTCCTGATTCCTTTTGTTGTAGCAGGTGTTAATTAGTTTTACCGTCACACAGTAAGGAAACAGGGATGGCTGCATTGTTTATTTATTCCATGCTCTTGGCAGTTTCTCACATCCTGTGATGCACAATTTATTACTAGTCTTCTCCTGCCTCCTCAGATTTGCAAATCTTATTTTTAAAACAAAAAGTAAGAGGATGGAAAACAAATATCAAAAGAAAAAAAAAACATTCCCTGATCAAATTGAGGCACTGCTTCAAACAGATCCAGCTTCTGGTTTATCCTAGGGTCCTATATCTCTTTGTGTGGGGGGATAGGAGCACTGCAGTAGGGAGCTGAGTGAGCTGTTCTTTAATATATATAGTAAAGTCTTTGCAAGTTAAAAAAAAAAAAAACCTCTCAGTGCACTGTTAACCTAACGTGTGCTTGGGAAGGCTGCTTTTCCTCTTGAGTTTGCATATTTTATATTTGAAAAGACCAAAAGGTTTTCTTAAAGAGAGGGAAATATTTGGCTTCTTTCTGCCTTCAAGTGCTTGACCTCTTTTGATGCTCTCATTCAGCTTCTGAGTGGCCTTTCTATATTAAATTATCAGTACTCTTCATATATCTGCTTTATTCTATTTTTTTTTCCATTGGCTTCAATTAACCTACCTTTATTTTGTCACAAGAAGAGAAAATCCAAGCTTGTGTCCATTTTAGAATATTTGCTTTATTTGAAATTTGAGGTAGACGGGAATGCTGCAGTATCTGATCTATGTGGTTTGGTTTCCTGTTTTTCAGTTTGTGGGAAATATCAGAGAGCCACTTCAAATACCCAATTGTGGAGCAATACCTGAAGACAAAGAAGTTTTCCAAGTTTTTAATTATCAAATATGTTATCTGCCGTTTACTGACCCTGGTGATTATTTTCATTGCATGCCTCTACCTGGGCTATTACATTAGCCTCTCCTCTCTGAGTGATGAGTTTCTCTGCACTATCAAAACAGGAATCTTGAAGAATGACACAAGTGTCCCAGAAAGGGTTCAATGCAAACTTATTGCTGTTGGGGTCTTCAAGGTCCTCAGCTACATTAACTTGATAGTCTATCTTCTAGTGATGCCCCTGGTTGTGTATGCCATGTTTGTTCCCTTCCGCTGGAATTCAAGGATTCTTAAAGTGTATGAAATCCTGCCAACTTTTGATATTCTGAAAGTTAAGTCAAAAAGTTTTGATGACTTAAGCCTTTACCTCCTCTTTCTTGAGGAAAATGTAAGTGAACTTAAATCATTTAAATGCCTCAAAGTGCTGGAGAACATTGCAGCTTCTGAGAAGTTTGATGTCATGCAACTTTTGATAAACCTGGGTACTATTAAGACAGATACTGTAGATGGGAAGCCATTGCCAAAGAAGCCTGAAGAAGCAGCTGCAGAAGAGCTAGAAAAAGATGCTACAGAGCTACAAGGTAAGGTGATCTGTTTTTTCCTTGAAAAAGGAAAAAAAATACAGACCTGCTAGTATATTGACAACAGGAATCCACTAATACAAAATCCATTCATATAATATGGCAGGCTTCAGCCTACCAATAGCTTTAATGCCTTCTGTAAGGAAATCGGTCTGTTTAGACCTTGTTGTCTAACGGCTATAACTTCATTTTCATACAGGAAGACTGTGGTTTGCAAGTCCCTGGCACAGGCTGCAGGCTGAAGGGTCTGCTGGGTTGGTGGTGTCCTCGCTGACATCTCTGCTCAAGGAGGAAGGGGTTTTGCTGCTCTGAACTTGTAGTCCCTGCAAACACCTGCACTGAAGAACACTAAACTTTTCTGCAGTAGGTTGCACTTGAAGATCAATGCAAATGAGAAAGTTAGTAGTTTCAGGACATCATGTTTTAAGAGATTGGTTTGAAAGATTAAGAGTTTGAAAGACTGAGAGATTAGAAAGAGCTTAGTCTGCCCTTCATACACATACTCCCCCCTCCAACCCGAGAAAGTTAGTAGTTTCAGGACATCATTTTTTAAGAGATTGGTTTGAAATATTAAGAGTTTGAAAGACTGCGAGATTAGAAAGAAAGAGCTTAGTCTGCCCTTCATACGCATACTCCCCCCTCCAACCCACAAAAAAAGGTCCCTGGGGTGAGTGTAGAATAGCAGAAATCTGAGATTAACATAGAAATAACAACTCAGATATTCAGAATTGTCAGAAGAGGACAGGAGGTGGGAAATGGAACTGGGGTCTCCATATATGCTCTTGTTCCTCCTTAAGCAGAGATAGGAACAATGACTGTAAAGTGATTTTTGACAAAATCCTCTGAGTCAGAGTCTGGATTAGTGCACCTGTTCTTGGGATATTCCCAACAGTTCAGATGTGGCACATCAGTTCCTGGGCTAGGACAGTTATGGAAGAGAAAACAAACGTCCAGACAGAGGCACCGAGAGCTGAAGATCCAGTCCTGCCACGTGGTGCAAACACAGCCAGTGTCGTAGCTGTCCTGCACAGTGCCAGGGCACCCAGGTCCCCTGAGCGAGGAGTTCAGACCCCCTGTGCTGCCACCCCCAAGAGCCCTTAATTCTAGAAATGAAGGTGCTCCAGAATTGAAAGGCTCAGGTGGCCTGAGTAAGCAAATGTCAACACTGAGGGCAAGTGAAAGGACTATTTCAAAGGCAGGAAAAACTGGAATCTACCTTCTCTGCCATTGACTGCCCTGTGCTAAATACAAGGAAGCATCTTCCAAAGGGTGACAGTTCCTCTATGCCAGGGTCGAGCAGCTCTCATAGACTGAGGTTTGGAGGGGGAGAAGGGAATTTACAAACAGGGAATTTGGAACAGATACTCAGAATTATTTTAAACTATGCAGAAAAAGCATTTCTGGCAGGCAGTTCTAGTAGAGCAGTTCGAGTACTTCTGACAGAGAATACTTCTCCTTTTAAATGCGTCCCTTTTCCAAAATACAGGTGGATGGACAAGGTGGAGATCTCTGCTTGTTGAGCTGAAAACACTGATAGGAAATCTGACTTACCTTTTATGGAAACCAGAGCTTTTGAAACTGCTTTAATTTCACAAAAACACTTCAAAGGTTTTTAGTTTGCTTTTCTTCAGAGCAAAAGAAAGTCACGATTTTCTTCTTCAGCTCTATTTAAACGTGCTAGGAAAAGCAGCTGCCCTCTCCTGGCCAGCTGGCATGTGTTTCTCATTTTGACTGGCTCCTGTTGTGGACTTCATGTTACATCAGCAGAGCATCTCCCATTGCCTGTGTTTTCCTCTGTTGCCAGTGATGTTCGTGTGTTTTGAGAAGTGACCGTGGAAAGAGAGGAGGGGTAGATGATGGCTCCAGAAACCGCAGGGGTTCCTGGGCACTGAGAGCCACGTCCTGACTGTTCTGGGACAGCTGGGGGCCCTGCCTGTGTCCATGCAGTTGAAGTGGGATAGCAGGCCTAGAACTCGTGCCATTCTGGAGATGCTGCTCAGGGTCTGGCTGGGAGGACTGGGCAGCACTGCAGCTCCTGGGCTCCCACTGCCCCTTTGTGCCAGCGTGGCATGCGGTGGCCTGAAGGAAGCTGAGGTTGTTCTGCAGCCTCTCCTTCTGCTGCTCTGCTGCAGGAAGCCACTCCAGTGCGGCCCAGGGGAGCTGCTGGAGGCACTGTCTTTGTTGCAGGTGTGAAGGAGGATGTGCTAATGGCTTTATTTTCTGTTTAGTCCTGCCAGACCGTGATGCGAGTAGCAATGAGAGTCCAAAGGAAGATAAAAGGCTTCGCCAGAGACTTACAGAGGCTTCGTGCTGATGCCTTCCAGTTGCAGCAGGCAGGAGCTTTGCGTTTCGAGAGGGCTTTGCCTTCACCTTCGCTACGCTGGACACAAGGTGTTGCCCTGCACGCAACCGTCTTGATAACCTGACAGCTCTTCAGAGGCCAAAGTGGTTTGCAGACTACTTGCTGTGTCATTATCATCATTTACATATTTGAAAAGGCATTTTATAGATTCTATTATTTATTTTTTAAAAAAGAACAAAACAACAACAAAAGAATTTGAGTAACAAGTGAATTGCACTGAATGCAATTAAAGCTGCATCAGTAAGAGGTAGGACTGCAAAACAGAGGAATGGGAAAGATAACTGTAGATACTAAAAAGAGGTGGTGACATTGCTCTGTGAAATGTCTCTGTTGGTTCCATGCTGAAAGTATTCAGGAAGGCAAAATATCCCATCTGGGTAAGTAGGGAACCACGAGAGGCAGCAATCTCAATTCTGGAGTTTAAGTGTGGCATTTGGGAAGCTCTCTGCCCTGTTAAGTTTGTTTGTTTTTTTTTTTTTAATATTAGCCTGGTTCATCTGTATACGAGTCAGTGGCTTTTTTTTTTTTTAATATTAGCCTGGTTCATCTGTATACGAGTCAGTGGCTGGCCACTTAAATACTGGTTGGGTCTTTACAGGAAAGATGGACGTTGCTGTGTTCAGCTCTCTTTGTAACATAGCAGGGGAGAAATCTGAATCACCTGGGTTACTGGAGATGTCTTGATTAGTCATCTCAACAGTGAAGGGCTTTGAATTATTTTCTTGGCACTGATGGAATAAGCTCCAAACAGACTTAGTATAAAGGAACAATGAAGATTCTAGGGATTCTGAATTTTCTAAGTATTCATAAAAGAAAAAAATAATGCCTTAACAAACTTTTTTAAACAAAATTTAATGGCATTTAAAGTAAATGCTCTGTTAATTACCATTTTCAGTTGTTTTGATCTTAATAATTAATAAGGCCTTTTAAGAGATTGGGTGGAAGATCAGTTTGTTCGATTTTTATAACCATTTGCACAAATTGCTTTTTAACTTTTGTATGGGTGGAAGTTTTTAAAATATGTTTGTAGTAGCAAACACAATATTAATTGTGCTGTCTTCCAAAACATACTTGAGAAGAATTTATTTGTATTACAGTAGCACTCGGGTGCCTCAGCAGAGCCAAGCACCCTGCAGCCACAATGAGGTAAATGTAAGTGTGATGAAAGGTCCTTCTTCCGGGATCCCCTGTGACTTAATTATAAAAACAAGATGCTGAAGCGAGTTGGAACAAACAAAAGAGGTACTTGTAAATTGTAAAACTGTGCTAATTAGCTGCTTATGGAGAGCAGCATTTGAATTTTCATGTATTCTCCCCCCACACCCTATCTCCTGAGACCTCTACTTTCAATTAACATTGAAATCCTTTTCATGAATTTTAGACCCAAGATTGGAAGGGTGGAGGGTTAACCACAACAGTGGTTATGTGTATCCTTCACAAGTGTTATATGGTGACTGTTTTTTCCATATTGTCCAGGATTTTGTAATCGCAATGTCTTTGCTATCACCTCTTTCAGGTTGTCTTTCTAAATAAAGTAGTACCTCTTTTATAGCTAGATCAGCCTTCCATTTTCCAGCCCATTTGTGGCATCCACTCTTCTGTTCCTAAATAATGGCTTTCTTGATATTAGTGAGAATGAGGGAAGACAGAAGTAACCAGTGTTAAGAATTGTACAGAACTGCTGATCTTTATGTGCTGCAGGAGAGTTCAAGGAGATAATGAACCTACTTGAATTTGGCAGCTGCTCTTAAACAAGTGGATCTGTAAGTGCTGTCATAATATACCTTGTGTTAGTATTATAAAAACCCTTTGGCTGTTGTGTGACTTTCAGCTCAGACAAGCCTTATTTAATAGAAAGTCTTTAAAGCCATAATATCATGCTACCTCTTTACATAGGACAGCAGCATGGCTACAATTCTAATGTCTACTGCATTACCAGCAAGAAACAGGGTTTATGTTGGATGGTGGTGCACTGAACTGCTGCATTTTCCTGTGTACTTCTCCCAGGAAACTAAAACCAGTCTCTGTTCTGGAAAGGGAAATGTACAAGCACCCTAAGAAGCAGACAAGCTCTCTTCCCTGGACTATATGATCGTGTATGGTCGTATATGGTCGAGTGTTTACCACCCACTAGTGATTCCAGTCCGGCCACACACGCGCTGTTGCTCTGAAGCGAATCGTATTCGGTTATCTTCACGTTATCGCCTGCATGTGGTGTACAGGAGCAGGAGTGCAATACTAAGATTTTGTGATGTGCATGTGTTTGAGGTGTTTGAGATAAGTAATGAGTTCTTAGTGTTTAAAACTTGAAGCTCCTGACAGTGGCATGTTCGTGTCGGATGTGGACATTACCTTTTACTAATTCCCCATTTGTATTTAAAAATATGACTTACTGTCTTGATGTCTTCTAAAGTGCTGAATAAAATATATGGTTATTTCTTGGTTATTTAAATAAAATCAATTTTGTAAACTATAACAGTGTGAGTGACTTAAGGTTCCAAGGATAACCATATGTTGCCATCTTAAAAACCTTATTACAGAACATACAGCCTGCTGAAACCCAAGCAAACTCTTTGGACAATAGTTAAAACTGTGTTTGTTTAATTTTTGTTCTCATAATTCATTTTACTCTGACAATTTTAGTTCAAAATTTGCTTAACTTTTAAAAGTGCCACTGTTGAGAAAACATCA